TGCAGCAGCAAACAACTGCTGCTGCTGCTGCTGCTGTTGCTGCTGCTGCTGCTGCTGCTGCTGCTGCTGCAGTAGGTGAGGGAAGCAGCAAGGCAGCAGCGCGCGTGCTGCACCTTTCTGAGCTCGACGGGTCTTCTGCTGCTGACGGTGCGGTGTACAAGCAGCTGTGCTGCTGCTGCAGCAACCATCAGCAGCTGCTGCTGCTGCTGCTGATGCATGCATGGCAGCCGCTGCAGCAGCTCAGAAGTATACAGACACAGCAACTCAAGTGCTGCAGCAGACAAGGGGATTATCTTCCCCTTGCTGCTGCTGCTGCTGCTATTGCTGCTGCTGCTGCTGCTGCTGCCGCTGCTGCTGCTGCTGCTGCTGCTGCTGCTAAGGCTAGATAGAAAACAGTCGAGGTCTGTGGGCTCTTCAGAGACGCAGGCGCCGCAGCAGCAGCTGCTGCTGCAGTTGCTGCTGCTGCTGCTGCTGCTGCTGCGCTGTGCGGATGCAGCAACCAGCCACCGCAGAACAGCAAGGGGAGGAAAGTAGCGGCCTGCTGCTGCTGCAAGGAGAGCTGCTAGAGCAGCAGGAGCAGCAGCAGCTGCTGCAGCAGTAGGAGCAGCAGCAGCAGCAGCAGCTGCTGCTGCTGCTGCTGCAGCTATTGTGTCTGCTGCTGCTTCAGGCGGCTGCCACAGACAGCACACGAGGCCTGCTGCTGCTTTTTTAGGTTTGGGTTGCTGCTGCTGCTGCTGCTGCTGCTGCTGCTGCTGCAGTTGCTGCTGCAGCAGCAGCAGCAGCAACTGCTGCTCCTTATACTTGGGTTTATGCTGCTGCAGCAGCCACAAGGGAGGAGTAGCAGCTGCAGCTGATGCTGCTGCAGGCAACAGCAGCAACTGTTTCTGTTGCTGCTGCTGCTGCTGCTGCTGCTGCTGCTGCTGCACCGTCAGCATCACTGTGTCTTTCAATATATTATGCATGGAGAAGGCGGAGGCCCAGGGTAGCTTTTCTGCTGCTGCTGCTGCTGTTGCTGCTGCTGCTGCTGCTGCTGCTGCTGCTTGGGG